AAAAAGTCTTAACAGTTGTATTAGATTATAACCTAGTATATTTTTTACTTTTTGTAAATTTTGTAAAAGTGATAATAACTTAGATAGTGGTTTTCACAAGTCAATTATAATTTAGTACAAGTAAAGCAAGAATCCAGAATAGTTATTAAAATTACTGATATTAATTACAATTGTACATATTGTCAAGATATACAAGTGATTATAACATACCTCCTGAAATAATAATGTTAGAATATACTTATCAAAATTTAACAGTATAGTATCCTCTTACAATTTATACCAGTCATTACAAGCATTTGAATAGCTTGTTTTGGCTTTGCTTACAAATTTGTAATAAATAATTAATAAAATATAATTATATTTGATTATAGAATACAAAAAGATAATAAATAATACATTATTTCTACAATCCCATCCCTGCACCACCAGCAGCCTCTGTCTCGTTCTTTCGCGAGTGGAGTTCGTGTCAATAAAGGATTAATGTGTTCTTGGGCTGCTCGATGTAGTCTTCATCACCAGGCCTTGATCGTTGCTCAGTCCCTGCAAGTAGAATCGCGTACGCGTGTGAGTTGTAAGGTCGAGCAGATTGTGAAGGGTGAGGCTGTGTCTGTGAGAAAGGTTTAGGGTGATTAGCGAGTGGCAACAAGCAAGAAAAGATGGACGCACCGTGGCGGCGTGTGCAGCGAGTGTGAGTGGTGCATGCAGATCGAGATGCGGAGCGTTGAACGAGCTGATTCGGACTGCAGACGAAATCGTGTCTGTGCGCGTGCGCTCTATTGTCTATCTACGTCGTCCAATGGGAGGTGCAGTAAACTGAGTCATTGATTGCAAGGTGTATCTCCGGGACGTTCTGGCTTGAAGGGAGAAGGCAATGTACAAGGTGTGGACGGACTCGGCTCAGGAGGGGTGAGCAGTGGCTACTGCTTCCCGATCTGGTGTCATGGACGGCACTGGGGAATGTAAAGGCACGTGGTGTGAGTCCATCGAGGATGTCAAGCATAGAATGGTGGGTGGGGAAGGAGAGTACGCACGGGGTCGGAGAGAGGATTGTGCCTTGGAAGTGATCCGACATGGACATTGTCGCGAGCGTGCTTGCATGTGCTCATCGATTGTTGCTTGCGCTGCAGAGCAGGAAGAAGAACGTGAATACATGGAATTATTGAAGAACTCGTTCGGCATTGGTCAACAATGCAGAAGTGCGAATGCGAATGCAAAAAGAAAGAGGAACGTGAAAAAAAGGAGGACAACGAAGGAGGGCAGAGCAAGAGGCAGAGCAAGGAGCAGAAGGGATGGAAGGGAGACAAAAAGTTGGGAGGAGAGGGATGAGCAGCTATTGTGCAGGCTATTATGAAGGGACTGGCTGCTTACGCTTTATGTTGAAGGACGGTGTAGTCAGCTCGGTGGCATCATCGCGTGTGATCTGAGGCTCAGCACAGGCATTGCAACGGCAGATTGGAGAGACAAGCGCAATGTTTTTCGTCTAACAGTTGCAGGCAGAGTGTCTGCTGGTAGGACGCTTGCGAGTGTAGGACTTGACTAGAGAGAGCAGAGGCGACGACATAGCATTAGGGGCAGAGGGTTGGAGAGACAGTGAAGGTAGGAGGTAAAGGAGTGACGAAGAGAAATGCGTCATTATATGCTCTCGATCTTCAATCCTTGATTACATAATCACAGATAAT